AATTGATATTTTGTACCGATTTATGTATTACTATAAGGAATGTAGACTAGATAGTAGCCTATTATAACAAAATTCTCTGTAAGATTATAAGATACTGTACAAGGTTGTAAAATGAAAATGAAAACAATGGGATCGGTTATTGTACACGTTAAAATAAAAATTTTAAGAATAAACAAGTTAAAATCACTCTTTTTTATCCGACTTGGAGAAAATTAAACACAGAGATGGATCACAATTCTCCTGTTAGCCTCGCGCTTTACATTGCACTATATCCCAGCATGCATCTACACAATTTTTGATGCAGTAATGTTCAATAATACGTCTTGTTACAAGGTTTTCTATTTTATACAATATTTTAACATTATTTCGATCAATACTACAATGATGGTGCCACGGAGATTAAGGTACTGTACAAGTATATCAAAACATTTAGAGCTAATTCTAAATGATTGCTGTGTTATAATCATTTTAAATACGCGGTTAATCAAAGTTTAATAAATATATTAATAAAGAATTTGATTAATATTTAATTAAAATTGAGAAAATATTTTTAATTATTTTGCGCGTAACTTAATAATGTTGTAATAAGGATACCACAACGTAGCTTCCTTACTATTTAACTTATAATAAATTGCCTTTGTGTATTCCCTATGCATCCTACTAAGAACATAGGAAACATATAAAAAATAACGATTTAATATGCATAAGCATGCCTATTAAGATTGATAAGAATGCAAGACTGTATCTTGATAGGTACTGTACAGTATAGAATGAGTAATTTATTAATTTTAATTACTAAAAAAATATCAATTTGTTAAGTTTTATTAAAGTAAATTATGAAGATTTATTGTTAATTGTGCTGTACTGTACATTATAGGCAGTATCTGTTCTAGATTTTCTTATACAGGTATGAGCAGTTTAACGACGAGCCATGTACACAGTTCGACGAAGATTATAATGGAGCTAAAAATTCGTAAGAGTCTGTACCTTTCTATATTTGGATATGCTTAGATGCATAATCAATGTGTTACTTACAGCTTATATGAGTAGTAGATTATACCATAAAGGTTTGTTAAGTATAATGCATGACACTATGAAGTTCTACTACGTATTTCTAATCCCATCGTTGAGCGGAGTGTACAATAAACCACATAATCTATTATATATATCGAATAATTATAAAATAATTAATAATTAGAAATATATATAGAATAACAAAAGAATAATTTGTATAATATAAATTTTTGTTTATTTCCTCAATTACCACACACGTTTTACTGTATATTAACCTGCCAATACATAAAAGTATTTGAATTGAGAACTTTAACTCGGCATTATCCCTGATTTGTCTGTTTAAATATCAATTTTAAACTATAAATTCTAATTTTAATTTGTTCTTAAATGCGTTTAAACGAAGCTTACAGCGTATAGTTGATTAGAAGTATAATTTAATTGATATAATTTGAATAATTTTATAAATAACTCTATAAACAATGGGGTGTTAACTGATAAGAAATATTTATAATGCATGTAGATCGAGGCATAAAAATACTTTGTATAAAATTAATATCAGAGATACTGTACAACTTTTTAATGAAGTTAATCAGATCATTGTCCTTTGTTAATTAGTGAATCGCCCTTGTCAATGATAGTTGCTCTTATCTGATAACGATTGATAAATAATAAATATAAATGTTCTAAAAAATTCGAAAAAGTTTATTAGAAGAAAACAAATTTTTTAAACTCAATCCACTTTCGTTTTTATTAATTTAATTAACATACAAATCCTGTTTCAGTCAGTAAACTCTTCACGCTTATTCTTCTGTCTATTTTCTTAACTTAATTAAATTTTCCTTTTTAATTTAAATTTATTCATAATTTTCTTAAAGAAACTAATTAAATAATGAGTTTACTATGAGATGTATTTAAAACATTGATGAAAATTAAGCTTCTATAATTTTTATTATATGAGAAATGCTTCAAGGTACTGTACGTGTTTTAATGGAACTCATACAAATAAAGCGTAGAACTTATCAGAATATGCAAGAGTTATTACAATTTTAATATTTAAATGCTTATTAATGAAAGAATTTTACAAATATAGGCGAATAAATTTTAATAAATTTAGTTGATATTTAAAGGTAAAAATTGGAATTTAAATTTTCATAATTTATTTTAGAAGCTTATATAAATATTTTTCCGTGATTAGTGATATTACTTTTTTTGCATGTAATATAATAGAGTAATTGGGTGTAGATAAGATGAAACTATCGTGAATGACAAAGAAATCGGAGGAAGTAATAATAAACAAGAAAATGGAACGATGTATTGTACCACTTTTCTTCGTTACCAAGTCGTTTAGAACGTTCGTAGAGCAGTTAATTTTAAATGATTACTCTATAAGCCAACTGAATTAATTATATAAATTATGCTACGGTATTTTAAAATTTTAATGCTTTTCTTCTTAACCTTTGGGAGAATTTAATGCTTGTGATTGTAATGTAGGCTCATATACGTTTTGCATTATTTCCTGCTTATAAATTAAAAGTTTCTATACATGAAATATATTTATCATTATTATTATTGTTTCACATCATTGTTTATGCTGAGTGAGTAGTAATTCCAAATGTATGTACTGTACAGGGTGGTCCAAAAGTCACTTAACTTAATTAACTGACTTATAAGCCACTATACATTAAATTTTAATGTAATGTATAGTGGCTTAATAAAAGAATGAAAAATCGTAAAAATTTTTAAAATTAAACGAAGATAAAGTAATTATAGGTGTTTCTTATCACGAAGAGATGCACTAGATATGTTATTTGATTTTTAAGGTATGATAGAGATTAATAGACGAAAATTTATTAAAATACTGATTCAATTTTGGTCTATATTGGATCTAGATACATTGTAAAAATCTTTAGAAAAGTTCACGCTTCATCCACAATCGAAATTTCAACCAAATACAGAATTAATTTCTTCTACTTGTTGCAAAATTGAATTTAATTTACTTATCGTTAAATACGATGACATTTCAGAATCATGATTACATTCGTTCTAAGAGCTGCACTTCTGTCAACATTTCTTTATGTTAAGCATTTTTTAAGATACTTTAAATACAGTAATAAATAGAAATTTAATTCCAATTAGTTTATACAAATTATAAATATAAACATAAATATACTGTACATTTAATTGTTATATTAATTCTACATGAGGACAACTAATAATTTAAGAAGGAAAATGCTAATTGTGGATATCTAAATATATAAAATTGCTTGTCCTGACTGACTCATTCATTCATTCACTGATTCATCATCGCCCAGAGCAAACCGCTTAACCTAAAGAGGTGAAATTTGGTACACAGTTAGGGTACGTCATGGAAACGCACACTAAGAAAGGATTTTTCGAAATTCCAACGCGGGGGGGNCTCCTTCTGTCTCTTTGCCTACTGTGCTCATTAAGATCGAATTTTTCCTTCTGCCAAGATAAGAAAACAATTTAAAATAAGGTACAATATATAGAAAGAAAACATTAAACTAATTAAATTAGAAAAGTTAACGTTTAAATAACAAAATTGGAAATTATTTTAAGTTTATTAATGTTTTCTCTTTACGTATCCGTACTCGTTTCCTTCATCTAACTACAATCTGTTAAACAGAATGCGAGTGAAAGACAAATGATCATCATTGCAATCGTAACGAGATGTTTTTCAAATTAAATTTTGACTGAATTCCTCACGTAGAAATAACATCATTGTCTCTCTCCATAAAAGACATTCAACAATTTCAACCAGTGGCTGGAAGCAGTCAGGACGGATCTGGTCGATCTCCTACAGTAATTTCTCGCCTTTCACATCTCCAAGATTACTTGGCTAAATTAGTGTCATTACTGCTGCCTCCGCCATACACTGTTATCTGCATGCATTACGGAAGAGATAGTATCTAATGCAAACCGACATTGATTTTCCTGCAGCACTACTGTAATGTCTTCATCTCTTTTCTTCTTGCCATACAGCAAGCCATTTCAAATGTTAGATGATGCCACACTTCGTTGATTGCTCGGTGCCGTACCTCAGAAATGGTTACTGTAGCTATTAAGGTTTAATATCTAAAAATTTCTTAACACTAATTTTCATTTTTTTCAACCTCAAAATATCTCGTTTTTCTGCTGACAGCTATTTTAATGTAGAATGATTCTTGTCAGTACGGTACTAAGATTATGCTAGAGGCTTTTGATAATAGAGTAATTTTGTATTACGAGATGACAGAGAACTTTGTAGTCGATATGTTATATCTTATTTTCTTATATCGCCTAAGGCTTTGTAAAATGGTAAGAACTTATCTAAAAGAAAGAAATTGAAATAGTCTTATTGATTACAGTAGTAAACCATCAGCAAGATTTATTATTGTAAAATTATGCCATATATAATGTATCCTAATTGATGTTTCTATGAAAGAATGCTTAACATTTCACCCAAAGCTAGCAGACTTTGTTCAAAATACAGTGTAATTTCATTTTTTGCCAACGATAAAACAGAAAAGTTACTAAGGTTTTTACATGATACAGGCATTTAGGCCTACATTTAATTAATGATATATATATATATATATCATTAATTAAATGTATATTATCGATTGTACTATCGATATCGATGTTACTTAATTATCGATAAAAATGATATATATATATATCTATACATATATATCATTTTTATCGATAATTAAGTAACATTTCTAAAAGATTATTATCTAAATTTTAGAACTATTCATATACACTTGAAAAATACGTTTAATTTAAACTGTAAATTTATAAAGAATTTTATTAGAATTTATAAGATGTCATATATAAATTTTAGTGAATTTTTAATGCTAATTAAATATATAAAATATTAAGACTACATTTAATTACAGTTATACTAATTATGAAATATATGTCAAGGATAAATATATATACAGTCCATAGGAGATATATAATTTGTCAAATTGAATTTCTTAACTTCACAGTAGATTGAGCCATACCTGATGAAAGCCAAGATAAGTTTCGACTGTATGTGAAGCGTAAAAGACCTCCCCATCACATGTCAAAATCAACAGGAAGCCATTGAGGGCCTATTGGGTAGAAAAAAGAAATTATTTTTTTCACTTTATCATATTATAACAGAATATACTCCATAATTTTTCCATTAAACTACCCTTAAATTGTTTACTATAATTAATTAGATATAAATTGATTTAAACTATTAATTAAGATATTTTCTTAAAATTTTCTAAACTTTTTCTCTTATTCTAACGGTATAACAGATATATAAGTCTAATTTGATCAGATAATTGCACATCGTCTATAAAGAGGCCTACTTGTTATACCTGCAAAAATAAAAAAAATTCACTAGGCTATTGTCTGGCGCCTACCTTAATTATTCAAGTTATTTTTTTAATATTCGACACGTATTTAAATTATTATTATTTTATTTGACAACTGAGCAATACTTTGATAATCTATATTTAATATTAGTTATTTAGATTATTCTTTATTACTATATAGAATATTTTTTAAAGTAATTTACTTGTCGTTGACCTTCTATTAAAAAAATATCCATTTAAAATAGAATAAAAAAATGGAAAACAATAAAATTGGTTTTTTTGTTGGAAGGTTAATGGAGCTGTTTAGAGAGGCGAACTCAACTTGAACAAATTGTCTAGCAAGCACTTGTGAAAAAATTCGTCCATCCAAAAAAATGCTAAGATCTAAGTGAGAATTCAATCTATACTGCCATTATTTTCTATTATTTTAATCTTTGCCTTGTTTTTTACTTATATATGACCTAGAACTTAACCAAACTCTCTTTAACATAAGCTATAACTAGTTTAACGGGCCTAAAACATTCTTTATTCTTTATTAGCCTACTAAATATTTAAAATTGTAGAAAACATGTAATTTATGTCTCTATAATTTTTATATTATTATTTTAATTATAGATACAGCATTCTGCTGTTTAACCATAGTTTAAATGCATATATTTTACATGTTTATATACATTATGTAGGGCAAGACTTTTAGCTTAAGTTTTTGGGCATATTAATATTAAAAATTTTGTAGTTTTCTCTATATTTATACCATTTATATCTGGTGTAATTCAATTAGTAGATATGCCGTCGTGAAAGTTTTATCTAACGTAGATATTCTGTGAAATAAATGTAGTAAAACAATAAACTTTGATGTATATTTTGAAAGAACTAAGGCCTTTGAAATCGAATCATTCTAAGTGATCACCCTTCGATAAGATGTAGCACCAATCACGGGAGTAGGTAACCATAGAAACAAAGCAAGGGCGGGAGATGGTTCATAAATCATTCTTGTAGATCCGGAATCCCCGAAGGTAGATGGGGTAATGGTTTTCATCACTCGGAAGCATACGACACCCAAATGGTGTAACGAAGTGACGGGTGGATCCAAGCGATCGATAATTCAAGTAATTCTTTTACTTCAAATCGGAATATTACCTTTAAAATTCTCCGCCTATACTGTCGATACGTACACCAAAATCCATAAAATATAAGAATTTTTTAAAAATGGAGTAAAGCATCATTCAAATATGAACCAATTTTAAGATTTAACAAGCCAGTAGATTGTTACAAATGAACACATTACCTAAATTGTAATTAAGTGATTATAATTAAATATATTTTAATAAATTTAATTTTATTTTTGGATCACAATTCTACTCAACACTAATCAAATGGATTTTTCGTAAATTAATAATAAATTACCCATTTATAAGGTTTTCTTTAATGTAAGCAAATTAAGTTATTCTATAATAGAAGAGGCATTTCTTAGAATTCAGTTAATTTTTTTCTGGTTTATTTTTTAATAAAAGCATTCGGTTTGATAAAAGATAGTGGAAACAATCAGATTTGTTGACGTTTAGTCGCGTGACTTCAACATTTGGCATTCAACAATAAGCGAAGTTATGTAAACTGATAGAATGTTAAATCCATCACTCACGACTCGATGTAAGATCCAAAAGGCGAATTCTTTTATATTTTCCCTCTCCTTTCATCCACAATAGGGAGAGGAAAAAATAGTAAAAAATAAAGAAAACAAAAAATATTTTAAGACGAATTTGAAATTCACTTTGATTTCGACTATCAGCATAAACCTTTCCCAGTCTGTCATTTCTGTTTATAGATTCCATTTATAAATGACTCCCTTCAACAAATAAAACCCCTGAACTTTAGATTATGTGTATATACAACTTCAAAATAACGAAAAAAATTACATTTTATGTAGACCCGTACATAGTCTTCAATGAAATGCATTGCTTTTTCCAAAAATATTGCGATAGAATGGATGGACTGAACAATTGTGCATAGAAATTCAACTTCCTGAGAGCTTTTTATAAAATCTCGTTTTATAAATAATAAACTGTAAGAGTTTCTTTTTTTTATTTTTTATTTTTCATCTTATATATAAATATATCGGCTTTTTATACTTGCAAAATTTCGAATTTTTATTGAATATTAACTCAACTTCTTCCTCCTCCTCATCCTTGTATAACTACTTCAATACGGCATTTCGTGTGTCTTTTAATGTAAGATAAGCTAATTTTATTAAATTTATTACAACAAAAGAATTCGATTAAAATAGTAACAAATGCGTGTTTTGTGGAATATTTTGTTCGAATTATAATTAAATTATTGTTTATTTTAAAATATAAATTGCCATTTGCGTAACTTTTCTGTTGCGCCTATCTGTCTTGAGATTTTATTTTTGAAATTTTGGTATTATAAATTATTAAAGTGGAAAAAAGCTTAATAATGTGGGTAGAGATGAGTTTTATTTTTAAAAAATTGTAAATGCTAGTAACGAATAAAATATTCATGAAGTGACACATAACTCACCTCTATCTCCCCACCCCCTTGACCTTTAACCAGCAAAATTTAACAGAATTAATGTTCCTAATACACAAAATTTCAGAAATTTTCTATGAAAGACACAGGAGATATTAAGCTTCAAAGTGGGCGAACAAAATCGTTCCTCCCCACACACACTAACATCCATTTATACAGAAAAAAAAAACCCAAATTATTTTGCATTTCTCGACGTTTCAAGGTCCCCGAGTTGAAAACGTAAAAATCTCGGAGTAGATATTTTTACCGATTATTACTTTATTTAGTTTATAACGTATTTTTACTGATTACTCAGATTTTTTTCTTACTTTCACAATATTTTCCAAGGGATAATGAAAGGGAATAATGGATAGTCTTACATCGTGATATTTTAAAAGAGAGTAGGACAAAGCTGTTTGTTTTTTCCTGTATAAAATTATTTCATTTTTAAATAAATGCCCTATAAACTCTCTGATAATGTCTTTTAATAAAATCTAGAAACCTAAATTTTCTTTTATTCATAATGTAGGCTTGTAGGTAATGCTTTTAATAATAATGATAACGAGGGATGAGGATAACTTATCTGGTCTTATAACAGGAGATAATTATTCAGAATATTAAATTTTTTATAAATATATTTGTAAAAAGTATAGAAATTTGAGGAAAACGTTAATTCAACCGATGAGAGAAAGTCAAAAAGTACAAATAAACTACTTTATTATTTTTGAAATTGATATTTTGTACCGATTTATGTATTACTATAAGGAATGTAGACTAGATAGTAGCCTATTATAACAAAATTCTCTGTAAGATTATAAGATACTGTACAAGGTTGTAAAATGAAAATGAAAACAATGGGATCGGTTATTGTACACGTTAAAATAAAAATTTTAAGAATAAACAAGTTAAAATCACTCTTTTTTATCCGACTTGGAGAAAATTAAACACAGAGATGGATCACAATTCTCCTGTTAGCCTCGCGCTTTACATTGCACTATATCCCAGCATGCATCTACACAATTTTTGATGCAGTAATGTTCAATAATACGTCTTGTTACAAGGTTTTCTATTTTATACAATATTTTAACATTATTTCGATCAATACTACAATGATGGTGCCACGGAGATTAAGGTACTGTACAAGTATATCAAAACATTTAGAGCTAATTCTAAATGATTGCTGTGTTATAATCATTTTAAATACGCGGTTAATCAAAGTTTAATAAATATATTAATAAAGAATTTGATTAATATTTAATTAAAATTGAGAAAATATTTTTAATTATTTTGCGCGTAACTTAATAATGTTGTAATAAGGATACCACAACGTAGCTTCCTTACTATTTAACTTATAATAAATTGCCTTTGTGTATTCCCTATGCATCCTACTAAGAACATAGGAAACATATAAAAAATAACGATTTAATATGCATAAGCATGCCTATTAAGATTGATAAGAATGCAAGACTGTATCTTGATAGGTACTGTACAGTATAGAATGAGTAATTTATTAATTTTAATTACTAAAAAAATATCAATTTGTTAAGTTTTATTAAAGTAAATTATGAAGATTTATTGTTAATTGTGCTGTACTGTACATTATAGGCAGTATCTGTTCTAGATTTTCTTATACAGGTATGAGCAGTTTAACGACGAGCCATGTACACAGTTCGACGAAGATTATAATGGAGCTAAAAATTCGTAAGAGTCTGTACCTTTCTATATTTGGATATGCTTAGATGCATAATCAATGTGTTACTTACAGCTTATATGAGTAGTAGATTATACCATAAAGGTTTGTTAAGTATAATGCATGACACTATGAAGTTCTACTACGTATTTCTAATCCCATCGTTGAGCGGAGTGTACAATAAACCACATAATCTATTATATATATCGAATAATTATAAAATAATTAATAATTAGAAATATATATAGAATAACAAAAGAATAATTTGTATAATATAAATTTTTGTTTATTTCCTCAATTACCACACACGTTTTACTGTATATTAACCTGCCAATACATAAAAGTATTTGAATTGAGAACTTTAACTCGGCATTATCCCTGATTTGTCTGTTTAAATATCAATTTTAAACTATAAATTCTAATTTTAATTTGTTCTTAAATGCGTTTAAACGAAGCTTACAGCGTATAGTTGATTAGAAGTATAATTTAATTGATATAATTTGAATAATTTTATAAATAACTCTATAAACAATGGGGTGTTAACTGATAAGAAATATTTATAATGCATGTAGATCGAGGCATAAAAATACTTTGTATAAAATTAATATCAGAGATACTGTACAACTTTTTAATGAAGTTAATCAGATCATTGTCCTTTGTTAATTAGTGAATCGCCCTTGTCAATGATAGTTGCTCTTATCTGATAACGATTGATAAATAATAAATATAAATGTTCTAAAAAATTCGAAAAAGTTTATTAGAAGAAAACAAATTTTTTAAACTCAATCCACTTTCGTTTTTATTAATTTAATTAACATACAAATCCTGTTTCAGTCAGTAAACTCTTCACGCTTATTCTTCTGTCTATTTTCTTAACTTAATTAAATTTTCCTTTTTAATTTAAATTTATTCATAATTTTCTTAAAGAAACTAATTAAATAATGAGTTTACTATGAGATGTATTTAAAACATTGATGAAAATTAAGCTTCTATAATTTTTATTATATGAGAAATGCTTCAAGGTACTGTACGTGTTTTAATGGAACTCATACAAATAAAGCGTAGAACTTATCAGAATATGCAAGAGTTATTACAATTTTAATATTTAAATGCTTATTAATGAAAGAATTTTACAAATATAGGCGAATAAATTTTAATAAATTTAGTTGATATTTAAAGGTAAAAATTGGAATTTAAATTTTCATAATTTATTTTAGAAGCTTATATAAATATTTTTCCGTGATTAGTGATATTACTTTTTTTGCATGTAATATAATAGAGTAATTGGGTGTAGATAAGATGAAACTATCGTGAATGACAAAGAAATCGGAGGAAGTAATAATAAACAAGAAAATGGAACGATGTATTGTACCACTTTTCTTCGTTACCAAGTCGTTTAGAACGTTCGTAGAGCAGTTAATTTTAAATGATTACTCTATAAGCCAACTGAATTAATTATATAAATTATGCTACGGTATTTTAAAATTTTAATGCTTTTCTTCTTAACCTTTGGGAGAATTTAATGCTTGTGATTGTAATGTAGGCTCATATACGTTTTGCATTATTTCCTGCTTATAAATTAAAAGTTTCTATACATGAAATATATTTATCATTATTATTATTGTTTCACATCATTGTTTATGCTGAGTGAGTAGTAATTCCAAATGTATGTACTGTACAGGGTGGTCCAAAAGTCACTTAACTTAATTAACTGACTTATAAGCCACTATACATTAAATTTTAATGTAATGTATAGTGGCTTAATAAAAGAATGAAAAATCGTAAAAATTTTTAAAATTAAACGAAGATAAAGTAATTATAGGTGTTTCTTATCACGAAGAGATGCACTAGATATGTTATTTGATTTTTAAGGTATGATAGAGATTAATAGACGAAAATTTATTAAAATACTGATTCAATTTTGGTCTATATTGGATCTAGATACATTGTAAAAATCTTTAGAAAAGTTCACGCTTCATCCACAATCGAAATTTCAACCAAATACAGAATTAATTTCTTCTACTTGTTGCAAAATTGAATTTAATTTACTTATCGTTAAATACGATGACATTTCAGAATCATGATTACATTCGTTCTAAGAGCTGCACTTCTGTCAACATTTCTTTATGTTAAGCATTTTTTAAGATACTTTAAATACAGTAATAAATAGAAATTTAATTCCAATTAGTTTATACAAATTATAAATATAAACATAAATATACTGTACATTTAATTGTTATATTAATTCTACATGAGGACAACTAATAATTTAAGAAGGAAAATGCTAATTGTGGATATCTAAATATATAAAATTGCTTGTCCTGACTGACTCATTCATTCATTCACTGATTCATCATCGCCCAGAGCAAACCGCTTAACCTAAAGAGGTGAAATTTGGTACACAGTTAGGGTACGTCATGGAAACGCACACTAAGAAAGGATTTTTCGAAATTCCAACGCGGGGGGG